GAGTCGATCCTGAAAAGGGTCTCTTCCACTTTGATGGGTCTTTCAGACCTTGCCCTCTCCGGCAGGAATTCATCGGTGTGACCGACAAGAAAGCCATCAAGCAACTCAAGACAATGAACGACATCTGCTACGCAAAAACCATCGAGCACGCAGGAACTAATCAACAACAAATGCTGATTTTCGTTCACTCTCGGAAAGAAACTGCCAAAACTGCCAAATATATCCGTGATAAGGCGATCGAGCTGGAAACAATTGGTCAAATCATGCGGACCGACGCAGCAAGCAGGTCAGTTCTGCAGGAGGAGGCTGATGCGGTCAATGACGCCAACCTGAAAGATTTGTTACCATATGGGTTCGGAATACATCATGCTGGCATGGGCGTTGCTGATCGAACTTCTGTTCAAGATCTGTTTGCTGATGGCTACCTAAGAGTCCTCGTCTGCACTGCAACCCTGGCTTGGGGTGTCAATCTTCCCGCACATACGGTTGTCATCAAAGGCACTCAAGTTTACTCCCCTGAAAAAGGGAGTTGGGTCGAACTGAGTCCACAAGACGTCCTTCAGATGCTCGGTCGAGCGGGCCGCCCACAGTTTGACTCATATGGTGAAGGTATCATCATCACGTCGCAGGCAGAGATTCAGTACTATCTTTCGCTGATGAACCAACAATTGCCCATCGAAAGCCAACTGATGGGCAAACTAGCCGACAACCTCAACGCAGAAATTGTCCTTGGAAACATCCGCACCCGTGACGAGGGCGTTGAATGGCTCGGGTACACTTATCTGTTCGTTCGGATGATACGCTCGCCCGGTCTCTACAGTGTGGGTGCAGATTACGGCAACGATGAGGCCTTGGAGCAGAAGCGAGTCGATCTCATCCACTCGGCCGCCATTGTTCTCGAAAAGGCCGGACTTGTCAAGTACGAGAAGAAGACCGGAAAGCTGCAAGCCACCGACCTTGGTCGCATTGCGTCGCATTACTATATAACACATAATTCTATGCTGACCTACAATCACCACCTCCAACCCTCAATCGGCACAATCGAACTTTTCCGGATTTTTGCTCTCAGTGATGAATTCAAGTACATCCCGGTCCGACAAGACGAGAAGCTTGAGTTGGCGAAGTTGCTCGGGAGAGTACCCATTCCTGTCAAAGAAGGGATGGATGAACCACAAGCCAAAATCAACGTTCTCCTGCAAGCCTTTATCTCGCGCCTCAAGTTGGAAGGTCTGGCTTTGATGGCTGATCTGGTCTATGTCACACAATCAGCAGGTCGAATCATCAGAGCCATGTTCGAAATATGTCTAAAAAAAGGTTGGGCTGGTGTGGCAAAGACTGCCTTGGACCTCTGCAAAATGGCCGAGAAGCGTATGTGGCCTACGATGACTCCTTTAAGACAATTTTCGATGTGCCCCAGGGAATACATCCAGAAAGCCGAGCGGATGGAAGTCCCTTGGTCCAGCTACTTTGACCTTGACCCGCCTCGCATGGGGGAGCTGCTCGGTCTTCCCAAGGCAGGCCGGGTTGTGTGCGACCTTGTTTCGAAATTTCCGCGGCTGGAAGTCCAAGCGCAAGTGCAACCGATCACCAGATCACTGCTTCGTGTCGAGCTGACGATCACTCCCAACTTTGTGTGGGATGAAGCAATACATGGGACTGCTGAGTCGTTCTGGATTGTTGTGGAAGACTGTGATGGAGAGGAGATCTTGTTCCACGACATGTTCATCCTACGGCGAGAGTACGCAGAAGGTGACATGTCTGAACACTTGGTTGACTTCACCGTTCCCATCAGCGAGCCTATTCCACCTAATTATTTCATTTCGCTGATTTCGGATCGGTGGATGCATTCCGAGACCAGAATCCCCGTCTCGTTTCAAAAGCTAATTCTGCCCGAAAGATTTCCTCCTCATACTCCACTTCTCGATCTACAACCTGTGCCTGTCCAGGCTCTGAAGGTCAAAGACTATGTTGCGCTGTATCCCAAGTGGGACAGATTTAACAAAATCCAGACTCAAGTCTTCAAATCCCTATACGACAGCAATGACAGTGTCTTTGTGGGAGCGCCCACGGGGAGCGGAAAGACTGTATGTGCCGAATTTGCTCTTCTTCGACATTGGAAGAATGCAGACGCTGGCAAAGCAGTCTATCTCGCTCCCTTCCAAGAGCTGGTCGATGGTCGTTTCGCTGATTGGAACGAACGGTTGAGCCGAGTGGGTTCCGGAAAGCTCATATCAACACTAACTGGCGAAATTACGGCTGATCTGCGAATACTGGACAGATCTGACCTGGTATTGGCCACTCCCACTCAATGGGATGTCCTGTCAAGACAATGGCAGCGCCGGAAGAATGTACAAAACGTAGAGCTGTTCATTGCCGACGAGCTCCACATGATCGGCGGCGAAAATGGCGCTGTCTATGAGGTTGTGGTTTCCCGGATGCAATACATCCACATCCAACTAGAAAACAATATGCGGATTGTTGGATTGAGCGTCCCGTTGTCGAATGCGCGGGACGTGGGCGAATGGCTCGGTGCCAACAAACACACAATTTACAACTTCAGCCCCATGACGAGGCCGGTCGGAATGCAGTTACACATTCAGTCATTCAGTATCCCTCATTTCCCATCTCTAATGATGGCAATGGCCCGTCCAACATATCAATCCATCATACAGTTGTCACCTGACAAGCCAGTAATCGTTTTCGTTCCGGGACGCAAACAAGTGCGGGCTACAGCTCTCGATCTTCTCTTAGCGTGCATCATGGATGACGACGATGAACGCTTCTTACATACCGACGTGAACGAACTCAGACCATTCTTGGAACGGATCAACGAACGAGCTCTGGCCGAGTCCTTGACGCATGGTATCGGATACTATCACGAGGCATTGTCGACCAGCGATAAGAGAATCGTCTCTCATCTGTTCAAAATTGGAGCCATTCAAGTGATGCTTGCTTCCCGCGACGTCTGTTGGGAAATCCCTTTCACGGCGCATCTCGTCGTCATCATGGGAACGCAGTACTTTGTGGGCCGCGAACACCGCTACGTCGATTACCAGATCAGTGAGATCCTTCAAATGTTTGGTCGAGCCTGTCGGCCTGGCGAAGATGAGGTCGGAAAGGGCGTGCTCATGGTCTCGGCGGTTAAGCGCGAATATTACAAGAAATTCCTCAATGAGGCATTACCCATAGAAAGCCATCTGCAACTCTGGCTACATGACGCGTTTGTCACTGAGATCAGCACAAAGACAATCGCATCTACACAAGACGCCGTCGACTGGACCACCTACACGTACTTCTACCGCCGTCTTCTAGCAAACCCAAGCTACTACGGCCTCAACGACACGTCTCACGAAGGTCTCAGCACGCACCTCTCGGAGCTCATTGAAACCACGCTGAAGGAGCTCTCCGATGCCAAAATCATCGACTTGGATGAAGAAGATGATACCATATCCCCACTGAACCCGGCCATGATCGCCGCATACTATAACATCTCCTTCATCACCATGCAGACCTTCCTCCTCTCCCTTACAGCTCGCACAAAACTTAAGGGTCTCCTCGAAATTGTCACGTCTGCCACGGAGTTTGAATCGATCCAACTCCGTCGGCATGAAGATCACGTACTCCGCCGTATCTATGATCGTGTGCCAGTGAAGATGTCAGAGCCGGTCTACGACTCACCACACTTCAAAGCAATGGTGTTGCTACAGGCACATTTTTCGAGGATGCAATTGCCCATCGATCTCGCCAAAGATCAAGAGGTCATAGTGTCAAAGACGCTCTCGTTGCTCTCGGCTTGCGTCGATGTGCTAAGTTCCGAGGGCCACTTGAATGCCATGAATGCCATGGAAATGTCACAGATGGTCGTGCAGGCCATGTGGGATCGCGACTCTCCGCTCCTGCAAATCCCACATTTTGACTCTCGAATTGTGGATGTTCTCGCCAAGCAGGGAATCAAGGACATTGACGATTTCATGACGGCGATGGATCCCTCTGAGAATCCGGATCAGGCCAAACTAGTGCAGATGATGGGTCTGAGCAATCGGCAACTCGTAGAGGCAGCGAACTTTACAAACAACAAGTACCCGAGTCTCGAGCTGGAGTTTGACGTCGAGGACAAGGAGGAGGTTACAGCCGGCCAGCCAGCCATTTTGTCGATCCGCATCTCGCGAGAGGCGGACGATGAAGACGAAGACGAAGAAGAGGGAGGCAAAAGCGATGGCGCCGACCAAGAGGTTGACATCACAGTCCACGCCCCCTTTTACCCACTCCGCAAACTCGAAAACTGGTGGCTCGTTGTCGCCGAGGAGAAGACAAGGTCGCTCCTGGCCATCAAACGCGTCACGATCGCGAAGAAGCAATTTGGCACGAAGCTGGAGTACGTCGTCCCGACCCCGGGCAAGAAGGACCTCACCTTGTTCCTCATGTGCGACTCGTACGTTGGCGTGGACCAAAGCATGGCTTTTAGTGTGGACGTCAAGGAAGGGGAGGATGAAGATGAGGATGACGAGGAGGGAGACGAAGACGAGGAGATGCAGGATGGTGGAGAGTAGAGATGCACGGTCTAACCAAGCCGCCTTGGGGCTTGTGGCAGCCATGGAAACAAGGTGGAGCCTGTGAATACCTATGAGAATACAGTGAAAATGTAGGTGACTTTTTGATTCTCTGATCATGGTTGACGTCCAGATTTGGATGTGTCAGGGACGCCGTCTATCTTCCATGTTCCTATCTAACAAACTCGGCCATTTCCTCATGTTTTGCTGGTTGGTAGTGACAGTCTTGTATCACAATCGCAAGGAATCAGGGACAAACCGTGTATGCACTTGCGGCAAGTGCAGCCATACCGAAATTGTTCCAGATCTTGGTCCGACTCGATTTCAGCTCCTTTCAGCAGAGTGACGCATTTCGCCATGGAATCTGTATAGCCTTGGAAGTCATTTGACACTACGGTGATGGTAGTGCCGGACCATGACGCACGATCTCGAGCTTTTCTAGCAATGCGTCTAAAGGAGTTGAGGCAGGTTGTTACATAATCCAAGCGACACTTTTAGGGAGAAAGCGTTGTGCGGCAGGGTGCAGAAGAGTATTCGCCTCCTTGTCAGTAGCAAACTATCGCTGATCGTCAGCCACGATCTGCTGAAGGTATTGTTGTGTGCGGCTTCGAGAAACCCCACGTCGTTCAGTTCGCCCAAGATTGACTTTGGCAGGGTATCTTTGATGGGGCGGACGAAAGTCGGAGGGTGGTAGGGATCTTCCCGCATCATCAAGGATTTGGGCTGAGATCCGCGACCGATCCAGATAGAAGAACCTATTCGGTGGAAACCCAGCGAGTCTGCCCACGCAACTGACTCAGCGTCATAGTGGTCAAAGACCTCTGGTCTATGTTCATATCCTCTGTCTCCGACAATAGCCGCAAGAAGATCGTGAAAATGGGCATGTTTGGAGGACTCGGGCCAGAGGGTTGCAGCAAAGTCGCTTGAGCAGCCGGGGGATCTTGGGGAAATGGGTGTGGCAATCTCCTCGCCAGATCGTTTCCTGGCTCTCATTTTCCTTGCAAGGTCTAGGACGTGGCACGCAGAGTGGAATCAAGGTGAGGGGTGGTTTGAGCAGGTATTGAAGTAGAACTAGGCAATCAGGTTCGTTGGCGAGCCTTGGACGGAAGAAAGAAAAAGTGACGTTCGAACACGAAAATCACGAGCAGGCAGATTGGCGAGATTAAGAGTGAAGTGAAGGAAAGTGAAGGAGGAAAATAGTAGGAAGGGCGAACACTTATATAATCATAGGGTAGCTGCAAAGAAATGTTATTCACCGGAACAGCTTTGTGTCGATTCAAACGGGATCGCATGCGTAGTTGACAACAGTGGCTTCCCTCGGTACGTTGCTGGAAGAGATGAGAATGAAGTGAAGCACCTGAAGTGAGTGGAAAGTGAACGCCAGCTACATATCATCTATCATATGCTTCGCCGTAGCTGAGAAACATACTGCCACTGTAGTCTGTATAGTCCGCCGCACCAACTACCCCAGCGTGGGGCCGAGTGTCGCTTCCGAGGCTCCTGTCCGCTTCCGATGGCAACATTCCCCATTGAGTGATATTCTTTACCCGACGACCATGCTTGCTCACGATTACTGTTCTGCTGTTCTATATATCTCTGTCCCAGGACTGGTGGTGCTTCTTCCTGCCTTTGAAGTTCTTTGCGCACCATAGATGAACTAGAAAAATCCTGCCTGTTGCGTTAGAATTGCCTACATTCCGAGTTTCACCTCAAACATGGCTGCCGCCAAAGGTCTAAAGCAGATTCTCGCCAAACAACCGACTGACGTTGTCATCCTCTCCTCTCTACGTACTCCCGTCACCCGAGCAGTCAAAGGTGGTTTCCGAGATGCCTACGACCATGAACTCCTCTCCCACGTCCTGCGCGCTACCCTCGCTGCGAATCCGAACCTCGACCCAGCGAAAATTGACGACGTTGCTGTAGGTGTGGTTCTCGCTGAACTAGGTGGCTCAAAAGCTGCTCGTATGGCACAGCTGCATGCCGGGTTCAACGAACGCACAGGCTTGCACACTGTGAACCGAGCATGCAGTTCAGGTCTTGCTGCCGTCACGAGCATTGGCAACATGATTACAACGGGACAGATTGACGTGGGCATTGGTGCAGGCATGGAGAGCATGACAAAGAATTACGGAAGCAAGGCGATCCCCACTATGCTCTGGGACGAACTCAGGAACAGCCCCATTGACAATGTACAAGATTGCATCATGCCCATGGGTCTCACCAGTGAAAATGTGGCAAAGAGGTATGGGGTGAATAGACAAGATCAAGATGCCTTTGCCGCCGAGTCGCATCGCAGAGCTTCCAAGGCACAGAAATCTGGCCTATTTGACTCTGAAATTGTTCCTGTCAAGGTCAGACAATACGCACCAGAGCATCCTGATGCACCACCCAAAGAAGTCGTGGTTGACAAAGATGACGGTATCAGACACGATGCCAGCCTTGAGAAGATGGCTAAATTGAAACCGGCTTTCTCACAAGATGGGTCTTCAACAGCGGGCAACTCCAGCCAGATCTCGGACGGTGCTGCTGCAACGTTGCTCATGCGCAGATCAACAGCCAATGAGCTCGGTCTGACCAAGAGTATCATTGGGAAGTGGGTAGGGACCAAGGTCGCCGGCTGCAGACCTGACGAGATGGGCATTGGTCCTGCTGTGGTCATCCCGAAGCTCCTCGACTATACCGGCTTGACGAAAGAGGATGTCAATATCTGGGAGATCAACGAGGCCTTTGCCAGTCAAGCTTTGTATTGCATTCGCAAGTTAGGTTTGGATACCGACGTGGTCAACCCAAGAGGCGGTGCGATTGCTTTGGGTCACCCATTGGGTATGACTGGAACGAGACAGCTCGCGACCTTGATGCCGCAATTACAAGAGGGACAGGTCGGCGTTGTGAGCATGTGCATCGGTACTGGTATGGGCATGGCCGGCCTCTTTGTCAGAGAGTAAGCTCTCTCTGCTGGCTGATCTCCCGCGAGTCTCGTCCTGCTCGATCCTACGAGACTCACGCCTCCGTCGTGTCGCCGCCACTACGCCGTTCCTGCGTTGTGAAATCTTGATTCTTCCGAGCCTCATTAGGACAAATATGAGCAGCAGTTGGATCAGCCACCGCTTTCGAGCTCTCACTAAACAACCACAGCATCGCAGGCCCGGCCATCACCAATCGTTCGCCGATATCACTTTATCTTCACATCCTGGCGTCGGCTCTTCGCATTTTGGGAGAAAGCACGCAGTTTCAAATCCATTGGCCGGTGCAAGCTGGCCGCACCAATCTGTATATATCTGTCTTCAGCGGTTGGTCATACCATAGGCATTTGCGTTCTCCGTCAGGTGTCAAAAGTTTGGATTGCATAAACCTGCCGAAGGAACTGGTGTTTTTCGGGGATTTTAGAGAGTATATATTGTGTCCATGTTACAATTTTCTTTCTATTTTTTGTACAGTCTTTCCCTAGCCTCAGGGGACGTGATCTTTCCATCCTCTCTTGGAACCCACAAGTCGTACATTTGATCCCCTTTGCACTTCCACAGAGAATCTCGACCGTAGGGGTTCGAGGTAGTGTTGGCGGTGACCTGCAGTTTCGACTTGCATTCACAAATTCTTCTGCGCAACTCCCCCTTCCGGTTCCTCGTTCCTCCACGCTTCACCCTCTGGCACCAACCTCGGAAGCGGGTACACTGGTAGACTGCGATTCTCGAGCTCGCGCTTGATGACCTTCCAACGCCCGATTTCCATTTCGCGATCAACCTCCGTCTCTCGGCGGGGGAAGATCATCACGTTGGGGCCTAAAGGCTGGAATTTCTGCCGCTGCTTCCTCGGGGTTTTCTGGATAGCGTCGTTCTGTGGTCCAGAGACAGCTTTCAGTGTCTGCTCGGCCATTGGCGTCTCCCCAATCTGAGCGTCGGTTCTCTCCTTGGCTGCGAAATCCAGTGCTTTCTTCTGCTTAGCTAACAACAACTCTGCGAATTTTTTGGGTTTTGGCTTCGCGCTTTGCGTGAGTAAATCCACGAAGGTGGTTAGGGGCTTGTTGCCGCGTAAGATGGTATTGAGAAGAGGATCAGGGATGCGGTGGCAGGTGAGTTGGGAAAAGCGCTTGACAATCTATGACGAGAGGGTCAGCTCGGGTCAGCAGAGCTGGAGAACAGAAAAAAGGTAAAGGTCCCAGGAAGAATGCTAAGGGCAAAACGTACAGCAAACGTGAGGGGATCACTAAAATCAAACTTTGCGCCAGCGAGCTGTTCTTCCACCTCTGGTATGGAAAGTTTGATCTCTTCTTGCCTCTCCGACTCAGGCCTCGGCGCTTCGCTGGCTTTCTGTAGGACACCGCTGGGATCTTCGAGATGTGACACAGTCTCAGAGCTCGACAGTTTGATCTTTAGAGAAGTCATGTCGCCGTGGAAGTCAGGCGGACCCTGTTCAAAAAGAATGGCTGGATCTTTTCCAAGTTGTTTGTACGCCAAACATTCGACGACGGATATGTAAAGGAATGAGAGAAATTCGTCGCGCTGGAGAGGTGTTGTGGTGGTTGGATCGAGCCAGCTACACACATCCTATTTAGATCGCCTTGGGATGCGCAATTGAGGTGGGAAATACATACGGTTCATAGTCGTCTTTAGGATTAGGAGGAAGGTCTCTCCAATGCCCCTGATGGCCTACATGTTCCAATCCGTCCCAAGTAGTGGCTTCAACGTAATGTCCAATCGGCGCAGTTGTTCCAGCGTCCTCCGGCAGGGATTGCTGATCGGAAGGTTCAGAGCGGTTGAGGAGAGAGTTGAAGGAGACTTGGCGGCGCTGTACGTTTGTAAGACCCGTGCCACGTCGCATGCAGTCTCTTGATGACAGGCTGGAGGATTGTCTGGCTTGCTGTGCTTCGCGTTGCAGGAGTTGATGTTTGCATGTCCGACAGATATAGCTGGGTCTGATAGCTGCAGCGAGTCCGCTGCTTATGGACCTTGAGGCGCGACCCGCAGAGGCCATCTCGTGTTGTAGGAACAGACGGGTCCCTGGGCTGGGCTTGAACTGAACTGAAAGATTCTCGTGACCAGATTGAGATGGAAGTTTTGAGATTCGTTGAAGCTGCGGAGCTGCGCACTAAAGTCTACGTCGAAGTAAGACGACAAAAATGCACTTCGGAGGCACAAACTGCGCATGGGTGGCGCATTCGCCTTGGTTCGCTTAGTCGTCCGTATCAAAACCACGTGATAGACTTCAATGTTGCAAGGTTTTCGGACGAAATTCCGATCACTTTGATAAGATCTCATAAATTGTCAGTCGTAGCTCATCGTTTCTGCTCAAGACATCTATAGATAAGCCATTTCATACGACCTGTCTCTCAAATGCTTCGACACTTTTCCATCCCGTGCGGAAAGGACGTGAACCTTTGTCTCAATATAACAGAACCAGCCTTACGCGCGCAAGGCCTCAGTCTAACGACCTGGGCATCATCCTTTGTGCTTGCGGGTTTGCTCCATAAACTATCTGTCGATCTTTCCTCCCTCGCTCGCATACCGGTCCTTGAACTCGGCGCGGGTACCGGTCTTGTCGGTCTCACTGCGGCTGCGCTGTGGAAATCACCAGTGATCCTTACAGACCTGCCGCCCATTGTACCTGGATTGGCGGCCAATGTCAAACTGAACGCGGCGACCGTGAAGGCTGTTGTTGAGTGTGGCTCATTGGACTGGAGCAACCCAGGAACTCTTGCCATCCAGGGCGGTACACTATACCACGCGGAAAAGGACAAAGCCCGCGTTATCCTTGCAGCAGACACTGTCTACTCGGAGGAGCACCCCGAGTTGCTCTCCAAAACGATACTCCGGTGGCTGGCTCCAGGACCATCGTCCCGGGTCATCTTGACATACTCATTGCGTGTGGCTTACCTGGATCAGATTCGGGAATTGTGGCAGCTTCTGGAAAAGGGTGGTCTTGAAGCACTTCATGAAGGTCGTGAGCAGGCCGAGCTTGACATCTGGGACGACGAACGTCTTTGCGAGTGGAGCGTATGGGGATGGCAACGGCACTCCACCCATGCTGACCAGGATCGCACCGAACACACGGGAGACCCTTGACTCGGGTGATCAGTCTCCTGCCATCACGCATCAACCCTCTTGACCAAGACGGACCTCTGCATGCAATCACTTGGGTACATACTTTGGCGGCACAACTCCATGCTAATAGACATACAATAGATTGGATTTCTCACACAAAATCCTCGCGTGCCATGCGGATCTCTAACCGAAACTGCACCGGTCGTTCACCGACCTAGACCCAGGATCGTGGCATAGATTTTTTGTCTCAGTCATTCCACCTTCCTATATCGACAACAAGCTACTCACTTGGTCACATACAGACCTGGCCTCTGCCAAGCGTCTCATCAGAACCGAGGGGCGTGCGATTGCTGTGGACTTAACTGTTGGCTCAACTACATGCTGTCGTGGAGATCCCTTTCCTGATTGGGCGTTAGCGGATGTCGTGATCATATGTCAATATGGTATCATGGCCGCCAAATGTCCAAAGACAACGGCTGAATCGCAGACGAAAGATGCCGTCAGTGGAAGAAATGCTGGAGATGACCGACGACGTTGCAGTGTGATTGTGTAACAATGATCCACGAGAAAAGGTCCCAAGAAATGCTGAAGATACTTATATCTCGGCGCCAATGGCATTTCCCAGACCGCAATATTCTTATTTCTCAAGCAGAGGGACAAGATGGCCGCCAACGAAGCTTCGATTGAAGCGGACAAGATCACTGCCGTCCAGTCTAGTCCTGCTTCGGTCGCCAGTTCTCCAACCAATTCCGCCGACCTCGACGACGTCTACCATCTGTACAAGCGCAGTGATGATCAAGAAATCGACCCGGCCGAATCCAAAAGGGTGCTGCGAAAGCTTGACGTGCGATTAGTCCCTATCTTGTTTCTCATCTACTTGCTGCAGTATCTCGACAAAAATGGCATCAACTATGCCAGTGTGTACGGTTTGCAAAAGGGCACGAATCTGCACGGCCAAGATTACTCCTGGTTAGGCTCCATCTTCTACTTCGGTAAGAGCTGGCCCCGACCTCAAAAATTGCGCCGCTGAACATCTCAGGTTATCTGTGGGCGCAGTATCCGGCAGGGTATCTCTTACAAAGACTTCCAGTCGGAAAAGTGATTGGGGCCACCACAATCGCCTGGGGTATCATCCTGATCACAACGCCGGCATGTTCCAGTTTTGCCGGAATCGCTGTCAACCGTTTTCTGCTAGGCACGTTTGAGGCAGTGGTGAACCCCGGGTTCATTCTCATTATGAGTATCTGGTACACATCGCTGGAGCAACCCTTGAGACTGGAGGCCTATTATTGCACAAATGGCATTGCAACCATGTTTGGCGGGTAAGCTTTTTAGGTTGATTCTTTTAAATCAGGATGCTGACAGCGTATCGAGCTTGATCGGCTATGCTGTTGGTCATATTACAACCGGGCTACCACGCTGGATGTACGTCTTTATTATATTCGGCAGCATCAGTATCGCGCTGGGCATCCTCGCCCTCATCATGCTCCCGGATCTTCCGTCGACTGCCAAATTCCTGACCGAGGCCGAGAAAGTGATTGCCGCGAAGCGTGTCTCCGCCAACCGACAGGGGATCAAGAACCGCCATTTCAAGTCGTACCAGATGTGGCAGACGTTCAGAGACCCCAAGACGTGGATCTTGTTCGTCATGGCCGTCGGCGCGCAGGTCCCGAACTCGGCAATCACTCAATTCACGTCGCTGGTAATCAAGTCGTTCAATGTCGACACTTTGGGGACGCAGTACCTTCAGATCCCCGGCGGCGCGGTCCAGTTCCTCGCCCTCCTCGGCGGAGGCATCATCTGCTCCAAGTGGCCGAATCTCAGATGCATCACCATGATCGTGGCCAACACGATTTGCATCGTGGGGTCTTCGCTACTCGTTGGGTTGCCCGACAGCAACAAATGGGGCCGGATGGTCGGGCTGTGGTTGTGTTTTTTCCAAGGCCTGGGCTTCAGCATGAGTTTGACCATGGTCAGCTCCAACATCGCCGGGTATACGAAGAAGCAACTCACAGCCGCGATCCTTTTCACCGGCTACTGCGTCGGCAACATTATCGGGTGAGTATTCTTGCGTCTTCCCCCCTTGGAAAAAAAAAAAGGAAAAAAAGAACCAGTTCACCCCCTCTCCCTATTCTTAATATTGTTTTCAACGACGACACTAAGCCACTGATGGATCTTTTCAACTAATCCCACGAAACCCGACAGGCCGCAAACCTTCAAGTCGAGCGAGGCGCCGCGATACCATTCCGCCTACGTGGCCATGCTGGTCGGGTACACGATCAAGCTGGTGGCAATCGTCGTCTTGTACATCTACATGTTCCTCGAGAACAAGAGACGGGACCGCGAGGCCGCCGCGTCGGGCGTGGTGGAGGTGGACGAGGAGAAAGAGGCCATTGAAATGGGCATGCACGACGTCACGGAGCTGGATAACAAGGGCTTCAGATATACCCTCTAATAACGCCATAATGCCGGGCAAAGTGCTCGATCATGAAATGAAGATTTGAGGACCCCTAAGAACAGTCCGACAAAGGGGCTACGGGAGAAAAGGAGAAAGCAAGTTGATCTAAAATCGTTTCTATCTCAAAGTTCCTGCCTTTTTTTTTCCTTCTCTCTGCCTTTCTTATCATTTGTTGGGTATCTGCGCTCTATTTTCGCTCTTTGTCAACTTGGGGTGTGTTGTTCTGTTCCATCATCCGTTCCCACATCTCTTGCGCGCAAGGCACGAGCTTCTCATGCCACAGGAACTTGCGGAGCATTTCCAGAATGGCTTCGGAACACCTCACGGCCGGGACGCTGATGTAGAGGCGCCGGAGCATGTCGCGCTGCATGGACGCTGGGACGCCGTAGTCGACGCCCGCGGACGCGAGGAGGAAGACGGCCCACGCAACAAAGTCACGCCCGGCGCCGTCTATGGGGTGCAGCTGCTCAAAGATGGACTGGCACAGCGTGCGCAGCGTCGTCTCCATGGACTGATACGTGCGTCGCGAGCTGTTGACGGGCCCGCTTCCCTTGGTGGTGACGTCGAACAGGAACCGGCCAAAGACGAAGCTCAGCGTCACAATGGCTTTCTCGAGCGGCCGGGCGCCCGAGTCCATCGACAGCCGCATCATCTCGACGGCGATAGACGTGTCCACGGGGAACTCTGCTGGGCCTTTCTCGACCGTCTTGGTCATGCGGTAGAGAAGGCGGATCACTTGGATCGACAGTCGCGTTTTCAGGGCCAGGTCGCTGAATCCCTCGGGCAGGGTCGACAGGACTTTGGAGAGAGATGGCGGGAATGGATGGGTTGGATACGTCAGCGTGCTGTCCGGGGTGATGTTGGTCTTTGGGGAACGACTGCGTCTCTGGATCGCATAGTCGCACATCATCTCAGTCCTGTCAGGGTGTGTCAACAAGGGGGGCCATTAGACATCTGGGAATTGGGTCTAAAAGTCGTGGATTACTCACGCGGTGACAGAATATCGCGTTTGAGGCGGCATGTCACTGGTGGACAAGCCGCCGCGCAGATCGACAATGCGCCGCAGTCCTTCTCGATGTAGCTCGACGTGGTCATCTTGTCCACGATGGAACTGTCGAGCAAGGCACATGAATCAACACTCTCTCGAGATCTTAGAGCATGGTTGCAGTAGGCACAAGAAAGAGAGATCCAAGAAACTGCTTACATCTCCAGCCATCAATGCTAAGACGGTGTGGATGGTCACATCGTCGCAACACAGCCGCGGCACGGTGAGACGGTGATGGAGCTTCCGCATCACGCTCCCTCGAAGGCTCAATAAGGTCTGCTGGAGCTCTTCCGGAGAAGAACCCAGCTGGCTCGCGGGTAGCTGACTCCATACGAACAGCATGGTCGCCTCAAAGAGCAGGTCAGCCTGCACGGCCATCCGGAAGAGGTGTGACAAAAGCCAGTTGCCCCCGTGGCCGTCCTGGTAATTGCCAAGGTTCATGGGCGCATAGATCTGCGTGTCTGGGAAGCATTAGTTGTTGACGTTTTGTCCACCTGCAATAGATCGGCGTCGGAGAGGATAGGGAGCCGTGATCAAGGAAACGGGCGTACAGTAGTCCACCGTCAACTGCACTCGGCCGGAAGACTGCATGGGATAGGAATTGAAAGGATCGCAACGGAGACTCCCCGGGGCTGCCTGTAGGTGAGGCTCCCAGGAGACGACTGCCACGCGCACATCTTCGCTTTTGACACGATCATCATCGTCATCCCAGCTGGGTGCCGTTGATCTTTCTTCGGTCTGATCACTACTCGCATTTCCAGCTTCCTGGGGGATTTGCTTCCAGGTTAGGACTCTGGGCCTCTTAGACCGAGCAGACTTGTCAGTCGCGGGCAGGGTGGCTTTGAGTTCCTTGCGCCGCTGGTTCTGGTAGGAGCTGACCTGCCATTTTTTGGCTCGTGACTTCAGCTGGTCCACGTGCGTGTATGTGATAAACATGATGGAGTAGAGAGCAGAGGCAAGAGGAAGAGGCTGTGGCCTCGGCGGGGAGGTATCATCGAGACGCAATAGTGGAAAACATCTTCATGACCTGTGTAAATAGAGGAGGAAGGCTATAAGAGAGTCTGAGAGGGAATACACGCGAATCAAGGAAAAACATATAGAGTCGACACTCACGACGTACCAGTCCTCGTACCGAAAATAGCCCCCTGAACCACCCTGGCCACCTCAGACAAGTACATGTACCTGGTACCCAGCCCTATGCTTCATCCTTTGTAAGCACCGCCCTGTTTCCTCGTCAGTGATTAGTGCCCTGAAGCCCCCCAAGTACGCGGCGAGTCCGGTATTACCTGTAGGTGAACTCGAATTCTTAGCGAAGAGACCGCCAGCGACTGGGCCAATCGGATGGGCTACCTGGGCGGGCGGTTTGGCGAGCGATGACTCAACCTGCATAGGCGCAATCAAGCCTGTAAAGAGGCGCCGAGCGACGATCTCGAACGGTGAGAAACCGAGCCAACGAGATGTGTGGTGTGCACATGGAGGAGGCGCGAGTCAGAGGAGGAGAAAGGCACGAAAGTCCAAAAGACTCGAATAGGCAGGGCGATGATGAGGGCACCCGGAAATCCAGAGAAAGATACACCAAACAGCTCAGGTGCGACACACACGAGGCTTATTGATGCAGGGACGGACAACGAAAGAGACTAGGGAAACACCCGCGGCCACATGGTCAACAACATTGCATTTTGGTGCATTCCCCGATGCGAAGAATACTAGAAACTGGCATGTGTACCCGTGCTGTGATACATATGCCCAAACCAACATTCTCAGTTATTCTGATATTATTATCCCACTCTTCAAGCCCCAATCTTTGCAAGGGGTAACCCCTTCAAGTCCTCGGTGGTGTACTCATCGTGCCTTTTGAACCCTAGTCCGCCCACGCCACTGAGTCCGTCCTGTCTGCCCAACGGGGTCATGTCCAGCCAGGTGAAGGTGTTGATGATGGGCTCCCCACCGCGGGCATAGCTGCTGTAGCTGTGGTAGATCTTGCCCTCGTCGCCAATGCCGGTCAGCTCGCCACCGAGCACAAACACCGAATGACCTGGCTGCTCGCCCGTGGCAAAGTGGGCGAGCCCGCGCTTCTCCATCTCCGACTTGTCCTTGAAGTTGTACTCGACAGGCTTGACGGCCTCGTCCTGCGTGGCGCCAAAGTCGTAGTTGAAGCTCGACCCGAACGACGAGACCCAGGGAAACTTCCAGCCCATGCGCTTCTTGTACGCCCGGATCTTGTCGATCGGGGCACGGCTCACGGCGACGAACGTGGTCGAGTGGCCGTTCAAATGGCGCAGGTCTGGCACCGAGTCGCCCAACAGCGAGCAGCTGGCGCATGCGGCGTCCCAGTCCGGGCTGAACATCAAGTGGTAGATGATGAGCTGCGGTCGTCCGTCAAAAAGGTCTGCGAGGGTGACCTCCTTCCCATCCTCGCTGGTGAAGGTGTACGGGGTCGTGACCTCGACCACAGGGAGAGCTCGGCGTTGGTGACCGAGCTTGTCGCGGGCCCTGGTGTTCTCCTTTTCAGCCTCAAGGAGGGACAAGCGGAGAGGAAGGTATTCAGCCTGCGAGACGATCTTTGAAGGTAATGGGAGGTTAGCACCGAACAAACCAGTAGGCAGTGAGCGCTATCACCTTGATATTGGCCATTTTGATCTTCTCTTCTACTGACGAGACTGCTGGGGGGGTTTCAACACGACGTGCGTTCCTGCAATGAGTAATAGCAGAGACTGGTCTGAGGCTTGTGGACGAGATAGATGAGCTGCTGTCCTCACACTTTGTTCACTGAAGAAAGTCACAGGGAGCAGAACCCAACCCAACTCACCTTCCACCTCAGCTCTTTATATTCAATCCCCCTGGCACCCTTCCACCCTTTTTCTCTTGACCAACTAATCCCTGGTCGTCGTATACAGCGGCACGCAAATGCATGCATCCCAGGCACCTGGGCTGAAATTACCCCGTTGCCGACGTATTGCATTGTCCGGCGATACGAACGAAGCGGTGCTCTCATTCCCCTCCATTCCCGCACTGGCTCAGGGTCTCCTCTGACGAAACTGTGCCTGGTACTACTGGTAGACACTCGAGATCTACAAAACGCGCCGTCAGCTGATCTGGCGTGCGTGCCTCTCAATCCCCTGCACCTTCGTATTCTCCGTCTTTCTGCCTGGCGGTGCCTGGAGCTTCATTACCACGCGCCTTGGACCGCTGAAAGGTCCAGTTTCAACAAGGGGGTACCACTCAGATTTTCTAATCAATGCTGATAAATCCTTAGAGCATAGGCTGAAGCATGGGAAAATGTGAGGCGATAGCTTCAATCTTGAGATGCGGAGGGCTTGGGTGGGAAATCTCACTCGTTGAGGCGACCAACAACACATATGGTAGGCATCAATCAGTACGGCATTTGTCAATTGTACGGACCCGTCCCAAGTCTAACTGAAGAAATTGGATGCATCATCATATCTTCATGAAAAAAAAAACTTCCGACTTCTGGAGAATATAGGTCCGACGTGGCAGCAATCTTCTGGTCCTGACACGTTCCAGACTTCCCGTCTCTTCAAGCTTCAGCCTCCTGCTTTCGCGGGGTGAAGCACAGACTCAAGGGCGCCAGCTCTAGAGTAAAAGTATCCAGCGTCTTCTCAAGCAGCGCGGTTCCGTCTTCTCCAGGACCGAATGCAACATCAAAATTCAATAGGATCTGTGCGGTCACTGAGCGGATTTCCATCAAAGCAAGCTGTTTGCCGATACAAGAATACGGTCCTAGCGAGAACGTGTCAATCCAGATGCATTAAGAATGAGAACAGGCTTCCTGCTCACCAATGAGGAAGGGGGCAAATGAGTCGCCGCGCTTGAGCAATTCCGGCTTGCTATACCTGATGACGACATTAGTCGAGTGTCCTGGCAGCCATCTTTGGCCGCTCTTACCATCGTTCGGGAATGAAGTCGTCGGGATATACATAGCATTCTGGAGCTAGGGAATTTATTTTCAGCGCCGGTCTCTCACATTCAGAGGAGGTCAACTCACATCGGAACAAAGGATATAGTGGTGCCCACACGTTGACGTTGCCAGGAATATAGGTACCTCCCACGGTAACGCCTTCGACTGGCGTTAGCCGGGTGACCCCACCGGGGACAGGTGGATGCAGCCGGAGCGCCTCGTTGATTGCACCATTCAAATGCTTGAGGGTGAGCAACTTTGAGGCTTGGAGGTCGCCCTTCAAGGACTGAATCTCTTCCCGCAAGCGGTCGATTTGAGATTGGTCTTTGGCCAGATGGAAGAAAAGATGAGTCAACGTCGCAGCAGTTGTGTCACTTCCCGCCACAATAATGAGCCGTGAATCGCCAGTGAGCCAGGCACGTTCGCTGTAGCCGGTGCCCGTCATGGGAGGAGACTGCAAGATCCAGGATGATATGTCTGGTTTGCCGACCTTCATCTTCATTCTTTCCTCCATCATATCTTCGCAGAACTTGATGAACTTTCGGAACTCTTTGGTGATGGGTGGGAACTTCTCGAGGATGAGGAACAGCCATGGCACAGGTCCAAAGATTCCAATCCCGCGCTGCCCAGCGTTGAGGATCTCTATGGCCCAGTGCTTCTGCCCACTCTTGAGCATGTCAAAGTCTTTGGCGTAGGCCAGATCTCCCATGACATCGAAGCTGTAGTAGTTGAACCACTGTGCGGCGTTCACAGGCTGCCCTGAAAAGGCGCGGATCTGTTCGACGAGGCTTTGGGTGTACCGTTCGACGCGAGGTTCGTATTCTCGTAGTGCTGGGATACGTTTAGTCAGAGAAGCGTAACAACACAAGCACTTCCTTACAGTTCTGAGTGAATCCTCGAGCCCAGGCTTTCCGTCGGAGGTCATGATATTGTCTTGACCGGGTTGAATGCATCGAGGTCAACTCAGAATTGCCCTCGTACCAAGCGGTTTTGGTGCATTTGGAGGATGCTCCATAGAGGACTTCGACCGCATCGGGATGGATCGTGGAGATTTCATTGGGCCCTGAGAACATCAATCAGCAAACAGGTGACGACTTCCCAACAGGTTTTTGCCACGAACCCGTGCGAACAAAGGTCCCGTATTTCTCGTGCATTCTGGTCAGATGCTTGTAGTTGTCAACGTGCGGAGCCACCTTCCACACGTGCCATAGTTTCGATAACCTTGCGCCAAACGGGCCGGGAAAAGAGCGCAGTCTGTGGAAGAAAGCTCGGTAGAGGAACAGGCTCGAGTATAATCCGGTCAGGTAGGTGGTGTAGAGGATGGCCGTCTGCTGGAGAGCCAACACCACAGGGACCCCAAAGGTGAGCTGCGCTCCGGTGGCGATGATAGGAAACGTCACAAAGGCCACAAAATATTGAAATGCTTGACGATGGTGTTCTCCATGGATGAAGTATGTCAGATGGGACACCACCCCCAGCACAGTACCCACTGCAGCGATCTGGCTCAAGGAGAGGATCATGGTTGTGTAATTCCTGTCAGATGAATGGAGGCCGGAGTCTCAAGAGAGATACCCTCCTGTAAAGGAGCATTTGCCCTCTAGCAAAGGTCAGATAAATGCTGACCATATGTAGACAAAGTTCCCATCAAGAAGACTGGCGGGGTTCGTTGTCGACACCACCGAGTCACCTAGTGTACGGAGGGTGCTTCCCATGTTCGCCGCCTTGCTCAAATAGTCCTACCGACTTCATACCTCGGAGCAATCCACACATGTTGGCTTGACAGACTCTGCGAAGACGTCCAGCCCCTAAGCAACTCCGCAAATAGACGACTGGTCGATGCGGGGATGTGGGTCTCGGTGCTCGGCGTGCATCTGGGGTCCCAGGCCTCCCTGACGGGCTTCAGGAGTCACAAGCAAGAGGTTGTTAAGACACCAAGATTGAAATGGAGATCACAGTGGTTGGTGACACGACCTTGACGAGTCAGTCAGTTGTGCCGCTTGGATGCCACTTGTGCCCTAGGATATTTTTGGGCGACTAGGCTACCAAACCAATGACGTCAGGTGAGGGTAGGGGTACGTTCGACCGTTTTGTTAGTTGCGCAGTTAGTACGGTTGATCACAAGATACCACACACTGTGCCTCGTCATCACGACTGTCCCGGCCATCGACGTGTCACTCACTGGAGCATCATGTTCCTCACCTTTGCGACGAGATGTGCTGTCGATCACTCTCCCACGTCTCAGCGCCGTTGCATACCGCATGGGTTTAACCATGTCCGGACCCTGCCTTGACACGATCATCATGTCCCTCAACGGCGACGATCGATTGACGGGTACAAAGAGTTGCAAAACAAGTGCGGCAGACTCGACTACTAAAACCATCTGGACTCTTGGACGACGAGACCGGAGACACTCAGAGCCGAGATGACTGGACTGTGTTCTGAGACGAACTCGACCTCCTTGTAGGATCTGGTTGGTGTTTCAAGGGGTTGAGCGACCGCGTCACATGGATGGATTGGGCGAGAGCTGGCAGGGAGTTGAAAGCGAGCTTCTGAAGAACCAGTCTAGGCCTCGACCACACGAAGTGTACCTAGTACTCGTACGGGTATGTACTTTGCCCCCTTTTTGCCGGCGGCCATAGAATGAATGAAAGAATTAAGAGTCCTGGTTTGTTCTGGTCTGAGTCTCCCGATTCAATTCAGCTTGCTGGCTAGTCCGCTATCCACAATGCACAAGGGTAATTTTCCTGGCGAGTCTTGCTCGATCCCGCACGCCCGCCTCCAAATCAGAGTTCTGTGGTCGTTCCGCACCCAACGACTTTTGCTTCTCCTTTGCTCTGTTGCTTTCTCGCTTCGTCGTTTCCCGCCAAAACACACTTCACCGATTCCTGGCGTCTGTTGACCCCTTCTCCTCAAAGCAGAAAGACGGATTCTGGTTATACACTCTATGACATAGAAAAGAAAGTAAAGAGATAAAAATGCTGCGTCATGTGGGAACGATCAAGACAAACCTGTTCCCCCCCTTTTTGGTTCGGTGTTTTTCTGGCGTCATCACACATTGACAGGATCACATTCATGCAATGAGGTCTCGAGCGGCGAATCGTCCGCGTCCACGGCCGTAGCGGCCACGGCCACCGCCAAATCTGCCTCCACGACCAGATCCGGTGTTTCCTCCAGTCGTAGAGTTCGAGCCAGTTGCACCGGTTTCAATAGAAGAAGCGGCCGACGTGGTGGTAGCTGCACCGTTTCCAGCGCCATTGCCAGCGCCGTTTCCGTTGCCGTTGCCGTTGCCATTTCCGTTGCCGTTTCCGCCTGCAGCAGCGGTGCTTGTCGCAGCAGCAGCAGTGGTAGAGCTGGCTGCGTTACCGCCAGCGTTACCACCGGCATTACCACCAGCGTTACCACCGGCATTGCCACCAGCGTTACCACCAGCGTTACCACCGGCATTGCCACCTGCGTTACCACCGGCATTGCCGCCCGCATTGCCGTTGCCTTGGCCGACGGTGAACTTCTGGCAATCGTCTTGAGCACCTCGTTGGGCAACCTAATTCTAATTAGCTTTTGCTTCTCTATAAGCAGAAGCGTGGTCTTCAGAACTTACCGGCATAAGGACAGGCTGGTGGTTAGATGCGCTGTTCATTGTGCAGACACGGTAGAACCCAGCAGGAAGGCCAGCGTCAACGGTGGCCGAAAGAAGACCTCTTCCATTGCCATCGTCATTGATACCCTTGAAGAAGGCAAAGGTTTTCGGGTCCGGGGCATTGGTGGGAGCCAGACTGTCGCCGAGATCCTGGACAGTGACGTGGCAATGGCCAACAATGTTGCCGCCTTGCAGTTCTTGAGGAGCAGCATAGTAAGTGGTGAGGGGATCGGTGAAGGAACCGGCGACCAAATTGGTCAATTGGACTTGAATATCGAAAGATTGGTTGGGGGTCAAGTCGTCTCCGGGGCCAGGGAAGATAACAATGGCCGAGACCATATTGTTGTTGGAAGGAATATCTCCCATGACCACACCGTTACACGACCCGGCGGTGTTCTGAGTTCCATTGGTCAAAGTCTTGCCTGTGCAGAAGTTGATGAAGTTGGCCGGATCACTAGAGGGAGTTAGTCACTTCAGTGGTCAAGAATGAGAATCACGCAAACACATACGTATCGGAATTGGCTTGTTGAGCATTGGGGTTGCCGATGAAGTTGCTAGCAGCTTGGACGTTGCTCGCGAGCAAGGTAAGATCATCACCACCACCGTTGCCGCCCGCATTGCCGCCAGCGTTACCACCCGCATTGCCACCAGCATTGTTGTTTCCGTTATTGCCATTGTTGCCTCCTGCAGCTGCAGCAGTGGTAGAGGCCGCGGCGTTTGCGGTGGTGGTTGCAGCTCCGGCATTCCCGCCATTGTTTCCACCACGGTTTCGCTGAGCAACGGCGCCTGTCGTGAGGCCGAAAGTGGCAATTGCCAAGGTCAAAAGTTGAGATGTCTTCATTGTGTCGGTTTGGGGTTTGGTGATATCAAACAAGCCTTCCTTTGGGAATTTGGACTTGGGAGTGCGGGATCAAAAAAGATGTTATTTTCAGAGGGATAGCAATCGAACGAGAGACTTCGCGGTCAACGCGGTCTGAACCAGAAAAAAAGGAGTGTGCGTTGGAAGAGAAAAAAAGCTGCTTGGAACGGTCGCAATTCAATTGCTGCGAAAGGAATGTAGAGGCACTGCCACGATGGAGAGAAGTAACACATTGATGCGAAGGAAAAACCGACCTCTTATGCATTCTGCTTGGCACAGGTCTCAGGTCTCTTCGGACCGTAACGTCGTTGGGGGGCAAGATGGGTGTGTGGTCCATGGTGATTTCGTCTGAGGCTGCAAATGTTTCCAGGATGGAAGATGACACAGAAGAGGCTCTCTAGGTGTCCCCGTGCGTCAGGTCAGGGAGGGCATAGTGCCAGCCTCGAAGGTTACAGGTTGGTCGCAACATGGCGCCGCAGCGTGGTTGCGAGGGCGATCAAGCATTGCCAATGTTTTAGAAACACAATTAGATCACCTAGAGGCGAGACAGGACGGGCAAGAAGGGAGAATGGAGATGGGACCAAAGGTGAAGCTGAGAGGGTTTCGAGACGTGTCGGAGAATCCAGGGAAACAGGCGTGTCTGAAACGGGCGGCTGTAGCGAAGCCTGGAGTGAGGCCACCCAATTGGTGGTTTGAGGTCTTAGCAAGGTTCCATAAAATACGGAAGCTAGCTGTATTCGGGATGATATTTCTGCTAAACCACTGCCAGCCACGTTTAGCGTGTCTTGGTGAATCACTAGAACCTCCTGCCCTTCTCCTGACGACGTCATATTGCCTCCCAGTAATCCCTCATCCAACCTCCATATTACGGATCTGGAGGTTGAATAGCAAAAACACAAACCTCCTCCTGCAATGTCCGCCTTTCTTCTAGTACCTTTAGTACCTTGGTTAAACTGTAATGAAGATCTCCACTTCATCCTCCACCCCCTCCGCTAAGAGGGTCTCGTACTTTCCCGATTCCGCCATCTGCAACCGCCCAGACCACGTTCTTCCCAACCCTCCTAAAAATAATTCATTTGACAAGCACCATGGCTGCCATCTCTTAGCCTTTACGGAGTACCTACTCCACGATCGTGAGAAATCCCCCCTGCCAGTCACACTGCTGGGGCTCGCACTCAAGCTTTGGTCAAGCTTTGCTTGTGCCGATTACCGAATCGCCCACTCTCCGGACTCAGCTTGAAGCGCTCCATGGTTCGAGCGCCTCAACCAGCGTTCGACCATTTTCCCCTTAGTGAGTTAACCCCGAGGGAAAAAGGCTTAGATGCGGCCGTTCTCCTCAGGGCTTACCTCGTACCTCGTAAGAGCACGGAAAACGGCCATCGAAGCGCCTTCTGTCCTCCACCCCATGATTGCGTCAAGGGCTAACGGCTGAAGCTCTCGCTTCACCCTGCTCAGATGAAGCAAGCACGGAGTACCAGTATTCAGTCCCACGTTACACAATAACTTGAGCCACGTAAAGCTTGTCAATTAACGTTGCAACGTGGGCGGAACCATCTTCGCTCCGTAGACGGATCTGGGCGACCCGCGCAAGGCATGCTGGCTCACCCTCGGCGTCGATACTATCCGACTTCAACCTCGCCAGGAGAAATCTAAAACTCAGTTCTCCAGGCGGGCAGACCCCCTTCCCTCCTGTCACTAGTCGGTGCACCGTGCCATGGCTTGTGCTCGACAAAGATTAGAAACCCAGAATTTCCCCTTTCAGATGCAAATTCGCCCTGCCCGATAGAATCACATTCGCGATGCTCTTCTTCCCTTGTGCATTGGTCTTGACGTCCACCTCGACTGCGATGGTGCTCAGCCTCCCCATTTCTACTCCCTGTTGGATGCCAAATACTTTCCTCTCAGTCTTTGCCTCTCCCAGCTTCAGTTCCTCTGTTTTCTTTGCGATTTCGGAATCGTCTTTTCCGTTGCCCGCTGCCTCCTCCGCAGGTTTTTCCGACTCCGATGAAGTACCTGGGCCTGGGCTGCCCAATGCCAGATAACAAGCCAGAGCGCAACACGCACTCCCAGTCCCCGGATCCTCAATGCCGTGAGAAATCATCCTTGCTTGAATGTTGTGGATAGCTGGTTCCCCAGGCTGTTCCGAATTTGCGAGGACTCTATAATACATACATCCCACGAAACTCGGTGACCACTTAGCATCCAGCTCCACCTCTGGCGACTTGGCTGCCTGCAAGGCGCCAAAAATCTCGGCATTGTCAGAGAGGTCGACGAGGACAAAGGACATGCCCTTGACAATCGAGACTAGAGGAAAGGTCTTGTCCCTTTCCTTGTCGATTGTCGGGACGATTTGAATATGCGGTTGTGTGGAGATGATATTGTTGATCGGAACGCGATGAGCGTGAATGTGGAAGTTGAAGGGGACTGCGCAGGCAGCCACTTGACGGTAAGGATTGAAAAAGATGGGTATACGGCCGGCCTTCGTCAGCAGCATGGCGGTCTGCTTTTGAGTGTCTCGATCGGCGGGGCCGCCGTAGTGCATTCTCTCGAGATAGCTGAATATCTGATGGGGTAAGATTAGCACTTTTCACACTCGGTGAAGGACCATAGTGAACCCACATAATATGCTGCTCCGATAACCTGGTAAGTTGTGTCAGTCGGATCCCATCTTCATCACCGCCACAGCTTTGCGTGTTGCGAGACTTACAGGATGACCGGCAAAAGGCAACTCCTCCCCAGTCTCCGAGAAGATCTCCAGTAGCCGGGGCTGACCGGGACCGGGAGCATCATGCAAAAAGGCCGTCTCGGAGAACTTGAACTCCCTTGCGATCTGCGCCTTGCGTTTTTGGGAGAGCGCGTTCCCGTGCACGGAAACGACGGCCAAGGGGTTTCCCTGGAATTTCTCAGGGGAAAAGACCTAGAAAGAGGACGGTATCCCGTCAATATTCGAGGGTCTCCTAACGCTGTGACAGCAAAAGTACCGCGGACAAAGGACTTTGCAAGATGAGAAACATTGGAATCGCGAAAGTATCAAGCGCCATTTGGTGTTTTGTCTGGAAATGAAGACAAGCTCAAGCAATATTTGTTCTGGGAAAAGGACGAGCACACGAGAAACATGAAGTGTTCGAGTTGGGAAATTCATCCCACGTCCCATCGTCCCCCTTCCGTGCCATCTTGACCGCAGCAGCAAATGAAGCGCAGTGGTCAAAAAAAACAAAAAACGAGAATATTCCGCAGAGCATGAAAAGGAGACATACCACCATGGTGACAAAGGTATGAGGGCCCGACGCCATTTTCTTTCCACTCGGGTTGATGTGAGATAGTGAGATGGAGAAACCAAAAAGTTTTCAAGACGTTATATGCCTCGGATCTCGTCGCGTTCTTTGCCGTTAGAAAACCTCGATCATGATATTTTTGCGGGTTTCGTCCAGCAGCAGCACTCTCCACCGTCAAAACTGGCACTTTAGCCAAGCAGCGTTCTGTGATGACAAGGTGCGACATCAGCTTAATCAAGTGTCGGAACATGAGGTAGCCATGTCGGATTAAGGTTAGTCCGGACATGACTCGGTAAACCTTCCATAGTTCAATATCCCCTTACCGCTTCTGCCCCTCTACCTAACCAGGCAGGTATTAAGCACAACCAATCTCAATGGATTTGTGTCATATTAGACACGGCCTGCTCTCAGCAATTATAGTGAACACCCTTATACGCGCGCTGAATCTGAACATCTGGTGCTTACTCCCATTACAAGGCATGCTTCTGTGACCAGGACCTACAAGAAATACCCTCACCTCCATCATGGACACGTTGACTTTCCTCAACTGAAGGTCACGCCAGACCCCTTTCAACACGCTCTTGCGTCCAGTCATTCTTCGCGCGGACAATGACATCCCAAACGCTGCCTGAAAAGTGTTATGCTCGAGTATCCGCAGGCCTGAAATACTTTCCGAGGCATCTGGCAGGTCACACCATCAATCTCGACGGATGGGTGTGACGGGTAAGGTATGCTTGCCTTGCACTGAATGATACTGTTCGGCCTGGATTTGGGAGCAGGGGTTTCAAGAGGGTGGGGGGCTCTGAGTTGGTGGCTCTGCTCGAATACAAAGTATGTGATGTGTGCTGTTCTCGATGGAGTATCGACCTGGATATCGTGCAATCTCAGCCGGCGATGCGGCCGATCCGCGGCGTTTTCTCCAACAAGGAGATCATGGAGTCCACGCTCTTCCTCATGGATCACGAAACGAGCAATGGCAAAGGCCATGCAGCTTGTCCATCCCCTCTCACTTACACCTGCATCGTGCAGGAGGCTGAGCGCTTCGTGACGCAACCTCGATTCTCGACACCGAGTTGCCACGAAGAACAAAGGGGATAAGACCCCAAGACTCGGACTCAAGACGCTCTGCTTTCTTCGAGGACCAGCAGCGTCCAGATGTATGATTTTCCGGCACCAGCTCACGATGAACTCAAAGTCGACGTGAAATGCGTCAAACCCTGTCTCGTCAGGCTGTCCAGTCGTCCAAAACATTACGTTGGCCACCCGGAGGTGAAGGCAGAGGTGGACATAATCAAACCCATCTTCTGAGAGGACATTCGTGTGGTGCAGTGCCTGTAGTTTGCGATCCAGACAGTCGAATGCCAGAACAATCTTCTTTTCGAGGGATTGTGACGTTCCAGGCGTTGAGGTTGCTCGCAAAACACATTTAAGGAGCCGGTCGACCCCATCAAGAGCGCTCCTCGCATCTGAAATGTTGGATATCTGACCCACGTCATAGTCGAGATGATAGTTTTCCGGGATACCTGACCCAGGCGGGGGAAAGTCGTCCGAAAACGTGCAGGCATGGTTGATGAGCTCGTTGAGCGACGGAATAAACGTAGTAGCGAAATCGCGGGGCATGTCCCGAGAATCGACCCATGAAGATGCGTCGGAGCCAAACCTCTCTTGCAGGATACGATACGCCGCCATAATGTGCATGGTGGCTGAAGACGTCTTCTCAATCCAGAACTGCATCGCCAGAAACAACAAACAGCAGGTCAACGAGACCTCAGTCGGCAATGTTGCGGGATCGGCAGTCCGAACCAGGCGTATTGCCTTGTGCGTATGTGACATGGCCAGCGCCGAGATCTCGGGACGTGGTTGTGCTTGCATTTCAGCCGCCAATGTGATATTGTGGAAGGGAGCTTGGAGAGCACCCAGGGCAGTCAAGCCGTGTCGAACAGCAGCATGGCGAAGACCTAGCTGGGGTGCGAGGCGTGTCCAGAAGGGCATCGAGTTGAGCTGGAATGTCGCCAAAATCTTACTCCCAACTTGGACGAAGTACTCGTATCTTGTTTTGTCCAACTCGCAATCGAAGTGGAGGACGGACGGCGGTCGATACTCGAAAATGCGGGCTATAGGGACCTTGTAACCTGGACACGGTAGACCCATTCTGCTGCATCGAGCACAGTGTGGCCGCTCCTCGCTGCATTTGATTCGCCTCTGCTTGCATCGGAGACAGCCAGTCAAGACCTTGGAGTGCCATCTTCTTTTCCTCGTTCGTGGATGAGAACACTGTTCAACCCCAGTGGCAGGGCCCCTGAGGTCGATGACAGACATGAGAGTTGGCATCTTCGCTGACACTCCCATCATTGCTGTTGGACCTCAGACCTCGGAGAGTTCTAGTTGCGTTCGAACACTTTCAGGCGAAGAGAAAATGGACCCAGCTCCAGGTGTGGATGTATACGAGTTGTGTATGTATAGGTGGTTGTTCTGCCTCAAGTTGGAATACTTAGGCAGCACAAGAAACCTCAACGATATATAACTGGCCATTGAAGGATTTTCGTCTTTGGCAGCGTACGGCTTTACAAGTCCTTGTATTTGTGTCGAGCTAGTGTTAGTCCCTTTACCGCAAACCATGTCACTGAACGAGGGCCCGCGGGTAGCCCTGTCGGTTACCCAATTGTAAGCGAGATATACGAGATACATGCATCTGTAAGGCTCTTTAGTTGCAGGCTAAACTACCCCGCGGGACAGTAGTGACTGGAGCGATCACTGCTGCCACCAGTCAATAAGTGGCTTCAACCGGGTGCTTTCGCGGTGGGTGGCCTTACTTCAAAGACATCATCTTCGCCTCGCCACGCCTCCGCGGTCCGGGCGGCGAACCTTGGAGGATCTTCGATCGTCGCGGGTCTCGGCTCCATGGCGCGTGCAAAGGGAAGTCAAGCAGCTATTAACATGGACATGGGGTATGGCAGCTTTGCAGCTCAGGCCCACAGCGCGTGTACTAGGAAAGTTAACACAAGAGCTGATCATGCTGGGGCAATGAAGCGACCACTAGGACGAGGGTCGATAGGTTCTGAGAAGGCCTCCAGTTCGGGTAGGAGAAGCTGAGGCACGCCGGTACGTGTTTGTTGAGCCACAACCTAACGCAACAAACCCGAGCGCTGGCATGATTTGAGATGGACGAGTCCAGGACCATGAACACCTCAGTGACGCCCGCAGGACGGGAAGCATTCGAGGCCTTTTCGAGAGCTACTGTGACCCTCGATCATCTAGGATTTGCTGCTGAGAAGACAGAATCCAAAGCTCGAGCGATATTTCGTGCAGATAAACATCACCATACCCACAGCAATGGCAACGATGGGCGTCAACGAACACCAATATCTGACCATCTTTGTCCACAGCCAAACGCAAAGCACCGCCAGAAGCGACAAGCCCGCTAGTCTCAGCATCGAGGGAGGCAACTGCAAGATCCAGTCGAGAGAGTCCCAGGTGTCGTAGCTCATATGGGCGAGAATGCAAGCAAGGTACCCAAAGATGACCAGAACACGTATCGTCATATGTGGAAAGTCCGATGCTATGTTCATAGCTTCTGAGCACAAATTAGTACATGAGTATGGTCGGAAAGAAGGTAAAGCTTGCCTAGTCTTTTTGGAATGACCTGGGTAGTCGCATCGACTTGTGTTTGCTCGTCCTTGTCGTCGAACCCCAGCAAATCAATTGCATCATTGAACTCCTCGAATGTGCCTCTGTAATCTCTCTTTGAGGGGAAGACAGTGTCGATGAAAAAGCTCACATCCTCACAAAGTTCCTCACGTAGAGATTGCATATATTCCTGTATTCTTAGCCGAGTGTCCCTTCATCTTCGGTAGATTGGACTTACTTCCTCATCTTCCTCACACAGATCTCTCAACTTGAAGATCAACTGTCTGGCTGAGAATCCATGGGAGTTGATACGTTCTGCATCAGCGCCGTGCAGCAGCAATTTCCTTGCAGATTCAAAGGATCGCAAGATAATGGCCATCATTAGTGGAGTCAAACCATTGATGTCCTCCCACTCCAACTCACTATTCTCACTTAATACTGTTGCGAGGATAGTTTGGTCTCCGTGAAGAACAGCTGCACCTAAGAGAGTCGCTGATACTGCTCTCCTTGAAAACCCCTCTGCCACCAAAAGTCTTGGAATATTATCTTCGGCTGGAAAAGGGCCATACAATCCGATGATGTAGTAGGGTGTGTATCTCATTGCTAATCCACCGGGCATCCGCGCTGTAGGTATCCTCGGGATGCTAGTCAGGTAGTGCGATTGCGAGTAACTGGCTCGTGAGGTAGCTGGGACCATCAGGTAGGGCATTAAAGGCGTCAAACACGAAGCAAGCGACGGCGAAGCATCTGGTAAGAGCATCTCCGCCATGTCAGATCGTAATTTGATCTGGTCACCGAAGGTGTTGAAATAGCAAGTCACGTTGCAATTCCCTGTTATTACATTCCATAGGTGGTATTGACGGCTGGTAGTGTCAGCACCGGCATGAATCAAACGTCTGAAGACAGGGCTGTTGCCGAAGGCGGCAGATATCTCAAGATACCGCCGAAGGAACCTGCCACCCTCGTGCTTGGGGTTAAGTTCAGGGAGCTCGCCTGGATACCATAGGAGGGCGTCAAGTTCTGCGGCAGGTCCTCCCGCACACAGAGTTGATAAATAGAGGTCTCTCTCTTCGGCATCAGCCTCGCGCATATCTTTCAACTGCGTCTGTAGACAGATGTCTGGTCCAGTTTTCTTGCAATTATTGCCATTAGGTTGACCGCATAGTTCTTGTTGTTCGCAGACCAACTTAGATCGAAACCCAGGTTCCGACCGGGCAATGGTTCGAAGAAGCCAGGAGTTTGCCGGGGTCATGTCATAGTATTCTAGCAGACCAACCTGCCGGCGTACAAAGTCGTGGGCAAAGGCTCTTGGGCCGGTAGCGTAGAGGATCAGAAGAATCGAGTGTCGTTGGTATGGCGTTGCATTCAAGATATCTGAAAGGTCGACTCCCCGGTCTATGACTGAGTCGATGGCATCTCTCTTCTCGTACGCCTGGTTTTCCATAAGGACTGCAAGCATTCTTGATAGTGTTAGCGTCAACCCGAGGTGCCTAATCGTCAACCTACTGTTCAGCCTCGTCACTGTCCTGGTTGGTAGAAGCCATCTGATCAAGCATCAAGAGACACAATCTAGACCATGAGCAGTCTCTATGATATGTTCCAGTGATTTTGTTGTTGCTCCAATGGAGAAATATCTGCCTGGAGTCAAGATCGCGGTTCTAGACCCCGTCAACGACACTTACCTCTAGTACCGAACTTGGCTGCTGAAAATATGAGAAATCTCCGGCGTCCACTTGGCGAGGTGGTATAAGGTCGAAGGGATGGGCCAGCCCCTGCGCGAACATTTTCTGGAGACCCTGCACATCGCAGGATGACAGGCAATCGACAATTCTAAGGTCCAAATTAAGGTGAGACCTCTGAAACCGTAGAGGTGCCGCAGGCGTCATTGAGACGGTGATACACATATCTGATAACCACCTCGGCGGAATATAGGTGAACGCGACGTATGTGTGGTCTTGCGATTCGTCCCTCGTCCACGTCAAGGGCTCTTGCGGGATTGAGTCGCAAGTCACGTCGACCATCAAAGATCCAAACCAGTACTGACGGACGAGACTCATTTCTGTTGCGGCTAATAGGATTCTGGCCGATCGGGGAAGTCCACGCCAAAGTCTTCGAGCCTGATTGCTACTGTGGTTTAGGTTAATTCCTTGAAATGGGTGGTTGTTACGAGCCGGGACTTGCTTCATCCGAGTAGAGATAAGGTGTAGCCGGCTTTGTATTCCACTGAGCTGTACCGCTTGCTGCAAGAGATAGCTTTCGGTCCTAGATGTGGATAAGCGAATGTCTTGGAGGTCCTGGTGGTGCGTCGCATAGTTAGATATGACATTGTGTGAGATGCTGTCAAGCGCCTGGCTTTGGTTTCGGAGTCGCCGCCTGTTCAAAGTTTGGAATCAGTGTGATTTCGCAGGGTGTCCTTCCAAGAGACATACTCAGCTACCATAGAGAGCACCACATCGAACCTGCTTATGTTTCCTTGTAGACGTGTTTGCAGCTCCTGGATCTCCGGCAAATGTAAGATCTGTTGGATTCAAGCTCGTACAGATTTCTTTGTAATCGTCGTCTCTTGGAACGTGGTCCGTATCTTTTCCGCATGCTCTTTCAACCGTGCATAGTCTGCGGCCATCTGTGTATTGTTTTCCTCCCAAAATTGGCGTAGCTCAGCGGGAAGCTCCTCCGGCGTAAACACCCTGATGCGATCTCGAAGTTCAAGCAGAATCGACTTGTGCTGCCGAAGCACGGACAAGAGCCGCTCGAGCTCTTCAGGGGCATGAATCAGTCGGCGACGAAGCTCGGATAGGGTCTGGACGGAATCGACCACCAGGCCAGCAAGTGTTGTGAGGCTGGCAGCGAAGCCGATAAACGCAACAGACGCCGAAGCAGGATCCATGGTGCCGAAGATCACTGTAGGATTTCGACAGCAGCAAGATCAGACGAATGTGTGTGGGTGTGTGTGTGTGGGTGCAGAAACATGGAAATGCAGTCAAAGTGAGGGCAGAAGATAGAGAATAAATGCTGAAGAAATGTTGTAGGCGCAGGTGCGGCTATGCTGGGCAAGGCACATTCGACTGTGTCTGTTCAGGGGCGTCTGGACGAATCGGAGTATAGACACCTGGGCACCTACACACGACATGGACTGATATTGTCGTTCTTGTTCGTCTGTTAGCAAATCACAAGTCCACAACTGCCGGATGTCATTGACCCCTCTGCTGCGAGGAACCGGTGATGAAGTCTTGAGACCTTTCAAAGTTGAGTAAACCTTCTTCATTTTTAGAATCATCTGAATAGATGTATGGTACAGTAGAAGTTGAGCTAATTGAAACATGTCGATTGCTCACTTTCGACGCTTCATAACCTTTATACACATCTCTTCTAGGCCGTCCTTGGCCTCGCCGGGTGGAAATGCGCTGATTGAGGAGACAGCCTTGTCTGCATATTCCTGAGCCAGTGCGCGAGTCTGCTCGAGACCGTCACTCTGCGATACGATGTCCCTAGCCTGTCAATTATAGTCAGCTTCAGATTGCAATGACATGAAGAATGCAACTGGAATTCACCTTCTGGACATCACCCTCCTTTGAAAACTTCCTGCCCACCAATATCCCTAACTCGGGCCTGTTCCTCCATGCGAACAGCAACGGTGCGGTCGCCAATCCTAGCTCCAAGTCTGCACCGGCCGGTTTCCCCAATTCGGTCCCAGATATGGTATAATCCAACATGTCGTCTACAAGCTGAAACGCCAGGCCCAGATTCTTCCCATATTGATATGCAGCTTCGACCACATTGGGGGCGCACTGTCCGAGCAACGCGGCCGCACGACAGCTTTTGCTGATCAGACTCGCGGATTTCAGGTATGTTTTCTGTAAATAGTATGAAATGGTCTGCTCGCTCCAGCTGGGATTCTTCTCATCACTCGCAGTGTTCTTCAGTTGCATGAATTCGCCTTCCACAAGATTCGCAATGACTGTTGCAAGCAGCTCTGTCACTTCGGGGTCACGTAACCGAGCGAGAGCCACGGATGCGCGCCCGAGCATGAAATCCCCTGCCAACACAGCCATCTTGTTCCCGAAGGTGGTGTTTGCGGAAGGTGCTGAGCGGCGTGTGGTGGAGTGGTCTATCACATCATCGTGGAGAAGGGAAGCTGTATGGATGAGTTCCGTAATCTCCGCCAGTCGTCGCTGCGAAGGCAGAATGGATGTATCGTTAGGAAAGGCATATTCCGTTTCGTTCGAGGCATTCGTCAATGGTGACACGGCAGAGGAATAGTTCAGGAGGTCTTTGTCCGGATTCTTGTCCAGCAGCACAGACGGACTTGTAATCGGTGTGTCAATAGCACTTCTGGATAAAGTATGCTGCACATCATATCTTGGCCGCGGCTGCTTCGCAGCAAAAGCAGTCGCCCTCGACATCAGCAGCACCAGTAGCGGCCTGACATGCTTCCCTTCGCTCTGCGTATAGTATTTGGCAACCGTGTCTAGTATCGGGTGTCCCGAACCAAGCAACTGGCGGATGTTCTTGTTGAGGAATTTCAGCTCTTTCGCGACAATCTTGAGGGGATCAATCGTGATATTGCCGGTCGGTTGTCTGGCGGAGGAGGGGAGGACCTCGGCGACCGTGCTTTGGATCTTTTGAACTGCTGCGGCCCATGATGGTCGAGGCGTGGAGCTCGAGAAGTGACGTCTCGTTTGCGACTGGGCAATTGGCGAAGCTGACTTTGGATACTGTGATCTCGTCCGACACCACGGGCACACTGACGGATGTGAGTTCAATCGTGAAGAAGCTGTGATGGGGGTCGTGGCCACTGGCTGCCAAACGATTGTCGACTTCGGAGAAATACGCCCGCGTCCCCCCATGGCTGCGAATGGCATTAATTAAAGCTAGTAAGAGACGTCCATGAAGCTGAAGAATCCAGGGACAGCCAAAGGAAATTGTACAAGAAAAGAGCGGCGAGTGTGATGGGGAGCTTCTCAGGTCGAGGGAAACCAATGGAGAAGTTCGGGATGCAGCGCGATTGACTTTTTTTGAGTTTATGGGATTTGCCAGGGTCGCGCATTATGTAAGCTGCGACCACATGTCACCCACCCACCACCTTGTCACTCAACAGCTATGATCGACTTCTTAACTCCTCCAAAGCCTCATTGTGAGTGACCAGGAGAATCTGTCAGCTTCGGTCGATCCGAATACGTCAAGGAGACAGATCACGCGGCATACCTCGATTGACGCGAGATCTCCCTAGGCCTACTCCGATTTTCTCCTAAAAGGGTGAGCCTGACTGCATCTAACACACTTGTCTACAGGTATATATGCCTCAGGACAGAAGCTTTGATTTCCGGGTATGCAATGAGGATTTCGGATAGATTAGTGATCCGAATTCAGGTCACTTTACCTAGGTCAACCGGCGCGGAGTGTCAGGTCATTTGTCCAAAGCCCATCATGGGCCTTCCAACAAATCTTACAATTCGTAGAGTCCGAGCCAAGGCTCGGGCCTCTCATCGCCTCATGTATACAGCACCTGTTGAAGGAGGGTATTCCGTCAAGAAGAGTTGAGGACGCAGGCCAGGGGAGGGTCGTCTATCTTGGCCCTACAAGGCTGGAAACATGCGTCCCAGAACATGTCCTGCACTCCCTCAGCCTAATCTCCTAGGATTCATTCCGTGATGAACCGCAACAACATCCCCAGATGCGCACGGCTGTCTCTCAAGATCAATATCACCCCCCAGAGACCGACGACGTGGTTTGGGATAAGATGGATTTCCTCACTTGAAATCATTCTTCTCTGCCCATTTGCGCCAGACCTGCCACTCGGAATACGATGCACTCGCTTTCAGCCCAGTATACCTGATCGCCTTGAAGTCTTGGACTTCCTCCCAAGGGTGTGGCGGCCGAGATTGTTGCTGGTCGCTTGCGGTCCCTCTAATCGACCCTCGCAAAAGTCTCCTCGCAACACCGTGACCCGCGGATCCTCCATCCCACCCTGCCTTCTTCATCAGACTCTCTACCGTCTCCTCTTTCGTCCACCCTTGCTCGACCGCCACATCTGGTAGATATGTTGCGCCGTGCCGCCTATTTCGGTAGTTGAAGCTAATGCGTAAGCCGTGGAGGCCTAGAGTCCAGTCCATGGCATCCCGACAGGGCTCGAAGTCTGCGAGTAATGTCAGAGAGCAAGAGAGTGAGGGAAGCAATGCGGCCGGGATGGGCGAGAATCGCGTGTCATCAAAAGCCGATGTCAGCGCGTAGGTGCTGAGGCCCGATGCGAGTGGGAGGGCCTCAAAGGTTCCTATACATCCTCTGAGAGCTTTGTTGCCGGAGCGGCCTACTGTGTTCCAGGTGACAAAGAGTGGATACGATTCGGTAGCCGAGAGTTGTGATGCGTACGAAGGGCGAGAATGAGAGCTCGAAGAAGTCGTACTGGAAGGAGTGGTAAGCTGGGAATTGGAAGAGCTGGCAGAGAACAGAGAAGGGGAGGACGTTGAAGAAGACCGCGACGACGAGCTTGAGGCCTGCAATCGAGAGATGCTGGGGAGTTGAGGCCCGGCCTTGTTGCTATTGTGTCGGCGATCAAAGCGTTGGATCTCTTCTTCCCCAGCGTCGTCCTCCTCCCGGTCGTCTTCTTCTATATCTTCATCATCCTCCTCGTTGCCGACCTGATCTTCTTCAGAGTCCGTCACCTTCACAGGATTCTTGCCATTTCCCAACTCTTCCTCTTCCGTCAATGTCCCACTGGACTGATTGTCCTTTATGTAATTCTCATATAGCTCGAGCACCTTCGGTAAAGTTGGAGGATCTCGACGTTCAAAGCTGGCGGACAGCACTTCGAAGCAATAGAAGCAGTGCGCTGGACTAGCCATAGATTGCAATCGACGTAGATTGAGGACTTCGCCAGGACTGTGGAAATGCAGACAGGTGGCTCAGACAGTGGGGAGAGAAGGAGGGAGATACGGAAACGCGGTTCACGTCGACCCCTTAAGTCTGAAACGGCCGGTTCACAAGCCAAAGGAACACAATGAGAGACCGAAAGAGGAGTTCAGATATAGGCTCGTGGGAGACGAAAGGAAACAGGCAGAAGAGAGGCACCGAAAGCGAGCGTCGGAGGCAAGGGAAAGGAAAGGCTGGTACTATAGATACGGTGATGGTGTTGGCGGAGCAAAGAACGCAGGCAAGGCAGGTCAAGTTGAGGGTTGACTCTGAACCGCATCACCCGAAGCGGGTCCTCGTTATCGATGACCATGATGAGGCGGAGATCCCCAGGAATCACAAGCACAGCGTCAGCCACAAAGTCCACCAAGTGCCCCCACTACAGACGGGTGCGGCCACCAGTTTCCTTCTCCAACACTCTTCATTGTGTTGAGCGTATCTGTTGCATACCGAGTAGCTTCATTTCCAAGCGTCCACGTAGCCTACGCTGATGCCCAAGCCTGCATCACTCTGTCCCACTGAGTTGCCAACGTCAGATCCGGCTCCAGCACCAGCGACAAACCCAGGTAGAGGACTCCTTGTTGTACTTCTCTCAACGCTTCTCCCCGTGATTGACGAGTTGTCTCCTTCGTCGTCGCTTTCATTGTCTTGTGGTACCAGCCTGACAGATCCGCCCCCTTTCCCTCTTCTCTCGCTGGCCCGCATCTCGTCCTCTGCTTTCCTCTTCTCCCATTCTGCAACCAAATTCCGGTAGTAGACCTCTGCCTGCACTGTGATACTGTAGTACTCGGGAGTCCAACCAGCCTTATTCTTACTTAACGGGTCTGCGCCCGCTTGGATCAAAGCGCGAATGGCCTTGAGATTCCCCCATGCACTTGCGTTGTGAAGACATGTATTTCCCTGGTCGTCCTTCGCGTTCACATTCGCACCGTGTACAAGGAGGATCTCTATCGTTCTGTTGTCCTCCGGGGTCGGTCT